GGACCTCTGTGTGTGTGTGATCAGGACCTCTGTGTGTGTGTGATCAGGACCTCTGTGTGTGTGTGGTCAGGACCTCTGTGTGTGTGTGATCAGGACCTCTGCATGTGTGTGTGATCAGGACCTCTGTGTGTATGTGATCAGGACCTCTGCGTGTGTGTGATCAGGACCTCTGCGTGTGTGTAATCAGGACCTCTGTGTGTGTGTGATCAGGACCTCTGCGTGTGTGAGATCAGGACCTCTGTGTGTGTTGGTCAGGGGCTCTGTGTGTGTGTGGCCAGGACCTCTGTGTGTGTGTGATCAGGACCTCTGTGTGTGTGTGATCAGGACCTCTGTGTGTGTGTGTGGTCAGGATCTCTGTGTGTGTGTGATCAGGACCTCTGTATGTGTGTGGTCAGGGCCTCTGTGTGTGTGATCAGGACCTCTGTGTGTGTGTGTGGTCAGGACCTCTGTGTGTGTGTGATCAGGACCTCTGTGTGTGTGTGATCAGGACCTCTGTGTGTGTGTGGTCAGGACCTCTGTATGTGTGTGGTCAGGGCCTCTGTGTGTGTGTGATCAGGACCTCTGTGTGTGTGTGATCAGGACCTCTGCGTGTGTGTGATCAGGACCTCTGTGTGTGTGTGTGGTCAGGACCTCTGTGTGTGTGTGATCAGGACCTCTGTATGTGTGTGTGATCAGGACCTCTGTGTGTGTGTGTGGTCAGGACCTCTGTGTGTGTGTGATCAGGACCTCTGTGTGTATGTGATCAGGACTTCTGTGTGTGTGTGATCAGGACCTCTGTGTGTGTGTGATCAGGACCTCTGTGTGTGTGTGATCAGGACCTCTGTGTGTGTGTGATCAGGACCTCTGTGTGTGTGTGGTCAGGACCTCTGCATGTGTAAGATCAGGACCTCTGTGTATGTGTGAGATCAAGACTTCTGTATGTGTGTGTGATCAGGACCTCTGTGTGTGTGTATGGTCAGAACCTCTGTGTGTATGTGTCGTCAGGGCCTCTGTGTGTGTGATCAGGACTTCTGTATGTGTGTGTGTGTGTGTGGTCAGGGCCTCTGTGTGTGTGATCAGGACCTCTGTGTGTGTGTGATCAGGACCTCTGCATGTGTGTGTGATCAGGACCTCTGTGTGTGTGTGATCAGGACCTCTGTGTGTGTGGTCAAGACCTCTGTGTGTGTGTGATCAGGACCTGTGTGTGTGTGTGATCAGGACCTCTGTGTGTGTGTGATCAGGACCTCTGTGTGTGTGTGGTCAGGACCTCTGTGTGTGTGTGATCAGGACCTCTGCGTGTGTGTGTGGTCAGGACCTCTGCATGTGTGAGATCAGGACCTCTGTGTGTGTTGGTCAGGGGCTCTGTGTGTGTGTGGCCAGGACCTCTGTGTGTGTGCGTGTTCAGGGGCTCTGTGTGTGGGTCAGGACCTCTATGTGGTCAGAACCATTCTGCACATGTGGTCAGGACCTTTCTGCGTGGTCAGGATGGCTCTGCGTGTTCAGGACTGCTTTGTGTGTGTGGCTGCAGGCTACACACATCCCCCCCAGAGCCAGGAGGACGGGGTGAGGCCTGAGCACTTGGGTCAAGGTACCCAGGTGACAGGTGAGCTGGGGACCCACAAGGACAGCCCAGGCTCAGAAGCAGTGCCCGAAGATGGCCGCCGGCCCAGAGCCCGTCCAGCGCACAGGTGGAGGTGGTGGGGCCCTGCCAGTTCAGGATTCCAGAGGGCCAGCCCCCCTGGGGTGGCTCAGGAGGGAGCATGCGGGTGTGGGGCAGCAGGGGAGGGACACGCCGACTCCCCATCCTCCTCCAGGCAGACCTAACTGGAGCCAGCCATGGACAGGGCCAATGCCCCTGACCACACGGCCTGCAGCTCCACCCACCTTGACCGCCAGCTCCCGCTGCCTCTCATTGGGAGTCTCCAGAGGTGAGGGCCGCCCCTCAGCCGACAGCGGAGAGGAAGCTCCGGAGGAGCTGCGGGACTCGGAGTCCTCGCTGGAGGCGGGGGACAGCGCCTCGGGGCCCGGCCGCTGGGTGGTCTCCAGCTTCTCCCGCAGGAGCAGGTAGTGCCGCGTCTTCTCCACCTGCACCGGGCACAGGCTGAGCAGCTGCGCTGGCGCAGCACTGCCCTCCGAGCCGCTCTGGGAACATCTGTCACCCCTCCCTCCCTAGCCTGCTGTGCAGCGGACACGTGGGCCTCCTCCAGCTGGAGGAGTGTGCTGGCATCTTTGCCACCTTGGGGAAGGGCCGGGGGGCCTGGCCTAGCCTCACAGGTGCAGGCCCACCCTCAGCCCGACAGCGGTGCCACCTGCCCACACTGGAGTTGGGAGTTCCTGACTGAAGCAACAGAGACCCTCGGCCTGGCCCCTTTGGTGTCCCTAAGCGCCCAGTCCCCGTGCTTATGTGAGCCTAAACTGTCTAACCTCAGAGGGTTCGGTTTTGCCGGGTGCTACAAAGCCCTGTGCAGGGCAGATATGGGCCACACGCTCTGGTCTGGTCTGGCCAGTGCCAGGCTGGCTCCAGACCACCCTAAGGTCAAGGCTGTGGTGGATGGGGCTGTGGAGGCTTGGTCCTCCACGCTTGGCTTCCCAGGCCCACGGCTCACCTCCTGCAGCAGGCTGAGCTTTTCCAGCTCCCACTGGTGGTCTAGGATCAGGCTGTCGCTCCGGGGCCTCCAGCCCGCCAGATTCTCCTCACCCCGGACGTAGGCCACAGACGTGTCCAGCACCCGCCGACGCCGGCGCTGCATCCCTGGACGGCGGCAGAAAGCGGACACCCCTCCTTCCCAATGGGGCTCTTTCTAGCTCAGGGAAGCCCTTGGGGTCAGGATGGGCTCCCCTGGGCCTTGGCCCCCAGCCCAGGACCACAGGAGCAGGCTGGCCTCTGGCCTGGTAGCACCTAGAGCTGGTGATCCTGAACGCCCCTTGCACACCCCCTTCTCCATCAGTGAGCCCCCTGAAGACCACAGACCAGACCAGTGCTTGCATTTTGTAGGTGAGGACCCCAGCTGACCTGCCCTCACCTAGGAGCACCAGGGCCCTGACCAGCCCAGCAGAGAGCAAGGCAGTAGCCCAACTGGGCAGCCCTCACCCCCCCCGGGTGGCCCTCACCCCCCCCACCAGGCTGCCCGCACCCACCTGGGCTGCCAGCATCCGCCACGTGGCACAGGCTCAGCTCGTACACACCAGTCACACGGTTGCTGCGGGGGGGGGGGAGGACACCTGGTCACCAGGCCCAGCGGGGACAGGCACACAGGCTGGGTCCTGACTAGCCACACTGCAACACACGGGCATGAGCCTCGCCCCGGGCATGAGACCTGGCCTGGTAGCTGCCAGGCACCGCGCTCCTGAGCTGCAGGCCCCGTTCCCATCCCAGACCCTCCGTCCCAATAAAGGATGGGTGGGAAACTTCTGCTCAGGTGCCACGGGCCTGGGCGTGAGTCCAGGGACCTCGGCGTTGCCTCCACCCCCGGATCCTGCATCGGGGTCCCCACGGCCTCATGCTCCGTAGGAGATCTCCTCCAAGAGCCGGTCTTGACCACGTCCACGCAGGCCCCACAGCCCTGCACTCGGCACAGCCCCCCACTGGCCCCAGCCACCAAGTCTCCTGGCCCTCGGCGGGGCCGCTGGGTCTGACAGTGGGTCTGTGGGGTGGACAACGAGGTCGCCCAGGAAGGTGGTCAGTGCCAGGCAGAGTCCTCGGCACTGGACATTGGCTTGGTCCTCTCCCTCCTAGAAGTGGCCAGAACTCCGGGAGGGCTGGGCCTCGTGCCAGGCCCACGCTCCTCAGGACTCTGGCCCTGGGAGGAGCAGCTCAGCTTACACCCCTCCCCACCCCAGGCTCCGCCCCTGCCTCAGGCTCCGCCCCTGCCCCCAGGCTCCGCCCCTGCACGTTTATCCGGCTCCTGCGCCCTCTTGGAGCAAGGGTCTTCGTGGCGGTGTGGTGGGGGTGCAGGGCGGGGCCGGCACAGGCCTGCTCCGTACAGGCGCTGGCTCCCTCGTGCCCCTCAACATGTGTCCTATCTCTGCATGTGCCACAAGGGGGCTGGGGCAGGGAGCGGGTGGGTGCACACTCCCTAGCCCGCCTTGAGTCTGGGGCCTCCCGGGCAGGTGTCACACGCGCAGAGACCGTTCAGGGCGACACTGTGAGCCCAGTGCCACCCAGGGCCACCCAGGGCAGGGTGAAGCAGGCCCCTTCCTCTGCCCTCCACCCCCCACGGACGCACCCCTCCACGCCCCCTTCCTCTGCCCTCCACCCCCCACGGACGCACCCCTCCAC